CCGCTACTATGACTACTACTACTACTTGTACCACGATACTAATACTAAATGTGGCATCATCAGTACGCTTTTTCCTACATGCTCTTCATATCTGCAGCAGTGAATTCCTTGCAGAATGCTCTTTCCTAAAACAAATATTTTCTAAACTATTCTCATCATTTCATCAGAGATTGCAGGTGCCATGCACACATCTTCAGCTTGCCTACTCCTTCATTGCAAACCTACTGGAGTTTTATGACAAGGTAACAGAAATAAGACGAGAGAGAGGGGTGGGTAGATTGCATTCTCTTGGACTGCAAGAAGGCTTTCAACAGTTCCACACAAGAGATTAGTGCAAAAGTTAGAAGATCAGGCACACATAACAGGAAAGGTACTGCAATGAATCAGAGAATACCTGACAGGGAGGCAATAACAAGTCATGGTATGTGACGAGGTGTTAGAGTAGGCGCCAGTGACAAATGGGGTTCAACAGGGGTCAGTCCTAGGACCGGTTCTGTTTCTGGTACATGTGAATGACATGACAGAAGGGATAGACTCAGAAGTGTCCCTGTTTGCAGATGATGTGAAGCTAATGAGGAGAATTATATTGGACGAGGATCAGGCAGGACTACAAAGGACTGCAAGCCTAGTCCAGCAACTAGCTTCTGGATTTTAACCCCACCAAATGCAGTCATGAAGATTGAGGAAGGGGCAAAAAAGACCACAGACAGAGTACAGGCTAGGGGGCCAAAGACTGCAAACCCCACTCAGTGAAAAGGATCTTGGGGTGAGTATAATACTGAGCACATCTCCTGAGGCGCATATCAATCAAATAACTGCTGCAGCACATGTGCGCCAGACAAACCTAAGAGTAGTGTTCTGACACCTCAGTAAGGAATGGTTCAAAACTGTACAGTGTGTATGTCAGGCCCACATTGGAGTATGCAGCACCAGTTTGGAACCCACACCTGGTTAAGCACGTCAAGATATTAGAGACAGTGCACAGGTTTGCAACAAGACTAGTCCTGGAGCTAAGGATAATGTGCTACAAAGAATGGTTAAGGGAAATTGACCTGATGACACTGGAGGACAGGAGAGATGGGGGGACATGAAAACAACATATAAAATACTGTGAGGAATTGACAAGGTGGACAGACAGGATGTTTCAGAGATGGGACACAACAACAAGGGGTCACAATTGAAAGTTGAAAGACTCGGATGAGTCTCAGGGATGGTAGGAAGTATTTCTTCAGTCATGGAGTTGTCAAGAAGTTGAATAGTATGAAAAGTAACATAGTAGAGACAGGATTCATACATAGCTTTAAGAAGAGGTATGATAAAGCTCATGGAGCAGGGAGAGAGGACCAAGTAGCGATCATTGAACAGGCAGGGCCAGGAGCTATAGCTCGACCCCTGCAACCACAATTAGGCAAGTACACATAACTGAAAATGTACAGTAAACAGGCCTCCCAAACTACTATTGAACACATCCCCAACATTCTCTCTAATGCCAATTTTCAAGATACACTACCGCCTCCACTACAATCAAGGACATCATCAGTAAGGGACCCAGTCAGAACCACAGCAGAGATATACACAATCCTTTACAATGATTTGTGACCAAATATACATGGAGGAAACATCAAGGGACTTTCATACACACATTTCTGAACACAAATACCTTGTGGCTTAGCGCTTCTTTTTGATTATAATAATAATGAAGACAAATATGCCAGCAGAATGGAGCACTTTAATGGCAGTTTCATACAGAAACTTCCACAACCACCTGATCACTTACAATGACACATGACTGATTATCAAAGATGACACTTCAAAATGCAGGATTCTGTAATTGTCACTTTAATAAACTTCATCACTAAACAACTTCATCCAGAACAATGGCTTCTACAACAGAGCTGAGCCACTTACCAGGAAACTTCTTAATCATATGGAAGAACACTGCAACAGGCCTACTGGCCCAAGCTAGGCAGGTCTTTCATTAATCTAGCCTCTTCTCAGCCATATATTTGTCCAACCCAACATCAGTCTACCCAAGAATTAGCTTCAACATACCTTAACTCTGATTTCCCTTCAAATTGAATAAATCTTTTGCCTTTTTTCCAGCATACCTTGCCTGTTTTTTTCATGTCAGTAGTGATACTGCTCCTGTGGGGAGCAGCAGCAGGATAATACTGCACCACCTCTCGGGGCCCTTAACAACAACAACAGTTTGGTGTGTGTCATTGGCGCCAACACATGGTGTGTGATTCTCTTCTCTTCTATCCCTACATTAGTGATGCAGATTACATGGTGAGTTTAAATATGTGGCCTGTAGTTATAACTTTTCTCTTGACATATGCAAGACATCACCATCCCTGTAGAAGCCGTTATTAGATGTACTAGTCATTATATTTTGTTGTTGCAGAAGTACTATGAAGATTCTATGTTCAATAAAGCCTAGAGATAAGGCCTGTGTTTCTTTCACAACAATGTCACTACGCTTGATAACTTTTCACCCACAAAGTGGGCTTTATCATTAAAGGATCTCATTATACTGCATTTTTGGTAGAAAGACACGTAAGCAAACACTATAACATATTTATTAGAAAACGTTTCGGTCCTGGGACCTTGATCACTTATGGTTAGAAGTGATCAAGGTCCCAGGACCAAAACGTTTTCTAATAAATATGTTATAGTGTTTGCTTACGTGTCTTTCTAAACCAACTTGTCGGTATTTATTACCAAGGTTTATACCACTGCATTTGTCCTTATCCTTCATGTCAGTATTTTGTCATTTCTCTCTCCTGTACTGTATACTATACTTCTATACAATGTTTGAGCATATCTCATATTGACATTCCCCAAATTGATTGCAGCATAAAAATATTTTTTCTTTCCATGCATCAAATGGGATTTTTTTTTTTTTAACACGTGGGCTGTTTCCCACTAAGGCAGGGTGACCCAAAAAGAAAGAAAAACCAAAAAAGAAAGAAAAAACTTTCAATCATAATTCAACACTTTCACCATCAATACCATGGGTATTGAGAGAGGGAGCAGAGGCGCTATGTGTACCCCTAACAACAATATTCAATACATCTATCGAAACAGGGAGATTGCCTGAGGCATGGAAGACAGCAAATGTAGTCCCAATCTTTAAAAAAGGAGACAGACATGAAGCATTAAACTACAGACCAGTGTCACTGACATGTATAGTATGCAAAATCATGGAGAAGATTATCAGGAGAAGAGTGGTGGAACACCTAGAAAGGAATGATCTCATCAACAGCAGCCAGCATGGTTTCAGGGACGGGAAATCCTGTGTCACAAACCTACTGGAGTTCTATGACATGGTGACAGCAGTAAGACAAGAGAGAGAGGGGTGGGTGGATTGCATTTTCTTGGACTGCAAGAAGGCGTTTGACAGTTCCACACAAGAGATTGGTGCAAAAACTGGAGGACCAAGCAGGGATAACAGGGAAGGCACTACAATGGATCAGGGAATACTTGTCAGGAAGACAGCAGCGAGTCATGGTACGTGGCGAGGTGTCAGAGTGGGCACCTGTGACCAGCGGGGTCCCGCAGGGGTCAGTCCTAGGACCAGTGCTGTTTCTGGTATTTGTGAATGACATGACGGAAGGAATAGACTCTGAGGTGTCCCTGTTTGCAGATGACGTGAAGTTGATGAGAAGAATACACTCGATCGAAGACCAGGCAGAACTACAAAGGGATCTGGACAGGCTGCAGAACTGGTCCAGCAATTGGCTCCTGGAGTTCAATCCCACCAAGTGCAAAGTCATGAAGATTGGGGAAGGGCAAAGAAGGCCGCAGACGGAGTACAGTCTAGGGGGTCAGAGACTACAAACCTCACTCAAGGAAAAAGATCTTGGGGTGAGTATAACACCAGGCACATCTCCTGAAGCGCACATCAACCAAATAACTGCTGCAGCATATGGGCGCCTAGCAAACCTCAGAACAGCATTCCGACATCTTAATAAGGAATCGTTCAGGACCCTGTACACCGTATACGTTAGGCCCATATTGGAGTATGCGGTACCAGTTTGGAACCCACACCTAGCCAAGCACGTAAAGAAACTAGAGAAAGTGCAAAGGTTTGCAACAAGACTAGTCCCAGAGCTAAGAGGTATGTCCTACGAGGAGAGGTTAAGGGAAATCAACCTGACGACACTGGAGGACAGGAGAGATAGGGGGGACATGATAACGACATACAAAATACTGAGAGGAATTGACAAGGTGGACAAAGACAGGATGTTCCAGAGATTGGACACAGTAACAAGGGGACACAGTTGGAAGCTAAAGACACAGATGAATCACAGGGATGTTAGGAAGTATTTCTTCAGCCACAGAGTAGTCAGTAAGTGGAATAGTTTGGGAAGCGATGTAGTGGAGGCAGGATCCATACATAGCTTTAAGCAGAGGTATGATAAAGCTCACGGCTCAGGGAGAGTGACCTAGTAGCGATCAGTGAAGAGGCGGGGCCAGGAGCTCGGACTCGACCCCCGCAACCTCAACTAGGTGAGTACAACTAGGTGAGTACTGCCTTTGTAGAGGCACTGAGATCCAACAGTTTAGAATGAATGAGAAATGAATGCTAAAATTGAGATTTATTATTCTGTGAAGAATGCCCTGGTGTTATATTTAAATTATTGTAATTAAAATTTCTTTAAGAGCACCCTGAAATAGTCTATTTTCTTTTGTAATATAAAGAATATGATTGACATTTGATAACAGAAGCTAATATTGAAGGTTTTGGAAAAAAAAAAAAAAAAAAAAAAAATTATAAACCGTAGCACTAATTATTATTATAATCAAGGGGGAAGTGCTAAACCCGGAGGATTATACAGCGCCTGGGGGGGGGGATGTGGAAGGCATTCAGGCTTAATTCGGGGAACTGGAGCACAGATCCAATTCCCTAAATCAAGAGCCCCTCACCAACATCAAGGAACCTTCCTTGAGGGGACCATAGCACTAAATATGTTGCATACGAACTCAAATTAAATAACCATCAATGAATAAACAGAAGGGTGGATGAGGGGATCAAACTGTGGTCTGTAAATTAACAGTCTGATTCTGTACTGTCTACCATGGTTCAGTCCTCTCATCCTTCTATTTATTCATGCTACATACAGAGCACCCACTAATCTTGATCATGGAGGTGGGTCAGAGTGGGCATTCAAGAAGATAACTGGTGATTAGTGTCTTGCAAATTTATTTCACATTTAATTGTCTATTTTTTATATTTGATTTCAGTAAATATTAGGGCATGTTTAAAGTTTTTAATAAATGAATGTTAGTGTACAATAAACTGTGTGCCTGCCATATACCAATACTGGCACCTGAACAATGTTGCATGGCAGGTATGTGTGCCTGCCATATACCAATACTGGCACCTGAACAATGTTGCATGGCAGGTATGTGTGCCTGCCATATACCAATACTGGCACCTGAACAATGTTGCATGGCAGGTATGTGTGCCTGCCATATACCAATACTGGCACCTGAACAATGTTGCATGGCAGGTATGTGTGCCTGCCATATACCAATACTGGCACCTGAACAATGTTGCATGGCAGGTATGTGTGCCTGCCATATACCAATACTGGCACCTGAACAATGTTGCATGGCAGGTATGTGTGCCTGCCATATACCAATACTGGCACCTGAACAATGTTGCATGGCAGGTATGTGTGCCTGCCATATACCAATACTGGCACCTGAACAATGTTGCATGGCAGGTATGTGTGCCTGCCATATACAATACTGGCACCTGAACAATGTTGCATGGCAGGTATGTGTGCCTGCCATATACCAATACTGGCACCTGAACAATGTTGCATGGCAGGTATGTGTGCCTGCCATATACCAATACTGGCACCTGAACAATGTTGCATGGCAGGTATGTGTGCCTGCCATATACCAATACTGGCACCTGAACAAGTTGTTGCATGGCAGGTATGTGTGCCTGCCATATACCAATTAATGGCACCTGAACAATGTTGCATGGCAGGTATGTGTGCCTGCCATATACCAATACTGGCACCTGAACAATGTTGCATGGCAGGTATAAAGGCATATAATGTCAAACACACTGTTTAGAGTTTGCTCAGGCTAACTTGTAAAGCAAAATGTAATGCTCGAAATAAAAGCTTGTTATCATTAATGTTTACAGAAAAGTTGTCAGCTTCTTGCCCCTTGCCAACATTTGAATGGCACTGGACAGTGGAAACTCTGAATGACAGTTTGTAGATGAATGGTTCAGAGAACCGACATGTTGATAAATTAGACACATGTGCAACTCTTGGGTATCTTTTTAGAACGTTTGCCACACATCTTCATCAGCCATACAAAGGAAATCTTGAAGAACAGGAGAGAATGAGTAATCAATCCCTCAACCTTGATCGATGTGATCAGTCATCAATCTTGAAGTCATGTGGTCATCCTCAATCTTGAATGGAATGACCACATTCGACTCAAGGTGAGGACTATTACCTCATTCATCCTGTTTACAAGAATTCTTGTATGACTGATGTGAGCCACATGTGTGCAAACGTTTCCTCAATAAAGATACCCAAGAGTTGCACATGTGTCTAATTTATCAATCTGAATGACAGTACATGGAGTCATCCTAGTCAGATATGCAAATGCTCTGTCCCAAAGATAAGTGCAGAAGAGGCCCTTTCTGGCTAGGAGACACTGATGTAGACATTACTGTAATTATTGTACTACATCTTTATGGCCTTTCTTGCCTGTATTAACAAACTAGAAATTAATCTGGTCTTGATTTAAGGGGGACACGTGGGATGTTAGAATTGCATGTGAGCATTTAGAGTCGTGTATACAGGTAACTTGCAAATGGTCAGTAGTCTGCTCCTGCTTCCAGCAGCCAATGTGTTAGCCAGGATTTACAGAAATTAAGAAAGCTAAGGACATTGAGTATTTGTGTACCTAAATCCAAATAATGCAATTTGTTCCTTGTTGAACATCTGCCTAGAAGAGAGGGTGTTTAACACCTGTTTCTACACTGAGGGACTGATTACCTACTCTTCTAGTCTTTGCCACTGTTTTGAGAGACATTGGATAACCAAACATCTAGAAAATATATACCCAGATGTTGTATGCATCTAATTCATCACTTTCCTTGCTTTAATTACATATTTAAGAATTATACGGTACAGTAATTATAATGCACAAGTATATTTAAAAAGTTCACATTTGAAGTAGAGAAGACAGTGGCATTTAAATCTCATACAAAATGTGCTGCATTAGAAATAAGTCACATACACATTTTATAAGGGTTTACTGTTTTCATACATGTAAGCAACATGTTTTCATACTGTAAGCAACATGTCCCATCATCAAGTACACAAAAATATTGTAATGTGCATTATTTTACACTTTAAAAAACACGTCAGTTTTATCACAGGAGAATTTTACGACTTTGTAACTATACAGGCACTAAGTACAGTACAGCACTGTACTATACATATATATTTACCGATGCACTGCCCACACATCAGTTTTCAGTAGTTATTATATGCTTCATGTAATGTATTTCAAGTGCTCATGATATGTATAACATCCAAATGAAGCAATAAACTACTAAATCCTATTACTGTACTTACTAGGACTTTTTGGAAAAAAATTATTAATGAACAAGATATTCACAAATATAAACATATCGTCTCAATCGATTTGGTTATTCCACATTTATAACAAAAATCATAGATATATCTAAATGGGTTTTCCAGATTTTAGTAGCAAATAACTGATACTGTAAAGGAAAAATTTTGCCACTGAGAAATTAAAGCATAAACCTATTCACATAAATGACAATCTTAACACTAGGAGTAAAATAAACTTAATACTGAACTGGCAACAACTTTAGTAATGGTTAACTGTACAAATAAAAATATATACATCTTCCCATGTGAAATTATAAGAATTATCATAGCAGATATCAATACACAACAGTTATTGTTATAATCATAACTAAGCGCTAAACCCACAAGGGTCATATGGCGCTGCAACGTAACAGTTAAAAATTGCACTCTCGGTAAAAACAAACAACAAAACATTAGAACAACTGATGTTCAGTTCTTGTTACTTAAATTAACAAAATACCCAAATATTGCTTTAACATCTCTTGATAGCTTTCAAGATGAGCAAATAAGCTTGGAGTTCCACTGAATTTAATTGGAGCTGTGAAAAATACTTGGTAAAAAATTTATTCTATGATTAGGGTTTCATGTGCCATCTGTATTTTGTAAAATTTAGCAGATTTCATTAATTTGAATCTAAGCACAGTGCTTGTATTCTATGTAAAGCAAAAACACATTAATTTCTATGAATTATACTGACTTGTAGGATTTCATTAAATAAATGAAGCAAAGCACAAAATAATAGGTTCTCATTAAATTTAAATTAAAAGAATGGTATTATTTGTTTTAGAGGGCGAGATAATTTTCAATAAATTACATACCCAAAATGTCTATAAGTAAGTCTTAATGACTGTTAAGTTTAGTTATTTAGAAATTACATTGTACAAAAAAAATTAATATTTTTTATATATATTATTATTGTATTTGTATATATACATACATACATTTTATATGTTATTATATATATTTTGTATATATATATATATATCGTTATATATTTATTACGTGTATATTTATATTAACGTGTGTATTATATATATATACGTGTATTATTTAGTATATAGTGTTATTTATATTTAACGTGTATATATTGTAGTATGTGTGTAGTGTATTATTTAAACGTGTTATATATATATTATAGGGTGTGTATGTATTTTTTATATATCGTATATATATATGTATGAGTGTAGTATTGTTTGTATAGTATATTTGTATTATGTTAGGTGTGTAGTATAGATTGTGATTATTTATAGTTTATTATAATGATAGTATTGTATTATTATGTACGTATATTTATTAGTGAGTGTATATAGTGTGTATGTTTTATGTTACGTGTTATATATTTAGTTATATTTACGTATATATATTTTATATGTATGTATGTGATTTATTTATAGATTTTATATGTATATATATATATATTTGTATTGATTTATTTTATGTATATAGTTATATATTTCGTTATATTATATATATTTATACGTATTATATATATTATATCGTATATATATTAGTTATTATGATAGGTATATATATATATATATACGTATATATGTATATAGTTTTTACGTGTTATTATATATATATATTCGTATTTATTTTTTTATATGTAGGTATTAGTTTTATGATATAGGATTATTTTAGTATTAATATGTATAATATATACCTGTAATGTATTATGATGTGTAGTTCGTTTTATTTTTTTTTTGTTTTTTCTTTATTAAAGTTTTATTTTAATTTCGTTTAAATTTTTATTTTATTTTATAAATTTTTTTGAAATTTTACAATTAAAATATTCCTTTTTTTTTATATTTTTAAATTTTTTATTTTTTTCTTTGTTATTTTTTTACTAAATTTTTAAAATTTTTTTCCCCAAATTTAAATCTTAAAAATTTATTTTTTTTTGGGAATAATTTTTTAAACAATTTATTTTTTTGGTTAAATAATAAATAAAAAAATTTTTTTAAATTTTTTTTTTTTTTTATTTTAAATTGAAAAATTTTTAAATAAATTCATTTTTATTCCCCCCTTTTTTTTAAAAAAAATTTATTCCCTTTTAATTTGAATAATTTTTTTAAAAAGAAAAAATTTTTTTTGAAAAAAAATTTTTTTTATTTATAAATAGATTTTTTTTGTTAAAAGTTTTAAAGGGTTGAAATAAATTTTTTTTTTTTTTTTAAAAAAAAAGATTAATTCCCCGGTTTTTTTTTTGATTTAAATTTTTTTTTGGGTATATTATTTTAAATTTTTGATTTTTTTATTTATTAAAAATTTTGGGGTTTGATAGATTAGTTTAGAGTTTTTTAAAAAAAACGGATTATATAAAAATTTTGTTTTGTTAATTTAATATATTTTTTATATATATATATATTTATATTTTTTTTTATTTAAAAATTTCTATATTTTTATATACGATATAATATATTCGTATTTTATATTTTTATGTTTATTATTTATAGTTTTTTATTTATATTATACGTTTTTTTTTTTTAAAATATTACGTTTATATTTATTTTATACTATTTTTTATATATATTATATTAATATTTTATATTATTCGTATATATATTTTTTAAAATTCTTTTTTATATATATAGTTTTTATTTTTTATACGTATATATTTTTATATATATTTTGATTATTTTATATATATTTATTATACTAAAAATATTTTTTTATATATATATTTTACGATTTTTTTATATATTTATAAAAATAGTTTTATATATTTTTTTATATTTTTATATATATATTTTTTATAAATAGTATTTATATTATAGTATATTTATATTTTTATACTTTTATATATTTTTAAATTTTACGTATATATATTTTTATATATATTTTTTATATATATATTTTATATAAAACGTAATATATTTTATTCGTATAATAATATATATAATATTTTATATTTTATATAACGTATTTTTTATTTTAAAACGTATATATTTTTTTTTCGTATATTTATATTTACGTATATTATATTATACGTTATATATAATATTTGTAAAATAAAAATTTTATATATTTTATATAAACCGTATATTTTATTATTTAAAACACCCCAGTTTTACATACAGCGCCTTAATATTCACAGAGGTATTTTCCACTTAAAAAATCATCTTGATGTCTTTGTTCTGCACCAAGATTGATGGGGCTAGGGTCGATCCTGTAATGCAGAGGTATCCCATTTACAGCAGAAGAGTGTACGCCATAAAAACGGTGTTATCTGTTCAGTTAAAAATATCAAAATCTCTCGCGTTTTTTTTAAAAATTAACCCCATTTATTTTTCCAAAATCTTTTTATTTGTTTTAAACAGGAAGTGTTTTAAAAGCTCCAGCCGCATGTTTACATAGGAATTATCCAAGGTGGATTGAAATTGGAATCCAGGTCATGTTTTGGGGCTTCATTATAAAAACCTGTTTTAAATCACTTTGCTGTTTTAAGTCTCCAGCCGAATGTTTCTTGGAATTATCCAAGAGTGGTTGAAATTTGGGAAATCCAGGCAATGTTTGGCCTTCTTATCAAAAGGCCTTTTAAAAATCACTTTGCTTTTTTAAAGTTCCAGCCGACTTTTTAAATAGGAATTACCCAAGAGTGGATTGAAATTGGGAATCCGGTAAGTCTTGGCCTTCATTTTCTTTAAGGGGGCCTGTTAAATCATTTGCTTTTTTAAAGTCCCCAGCCGACATGTTTACATGGGAAATTACCCAAGAGTGGATTGTAATTGGAATCCAGGTCAATGTCTTGGCCTTCATTATCATAAGGGCCTGTTAAATCACTTTGCTGTTTTAAGTCTCCAGCCGACATGTTTACATAGGAATTATCCAAGAGTGGATTGTAATTGGAATCCAGGTCAATGTCTTGGCCTTCATTATCATAAGGGCCTGTTAAATCACTTTGCTGTTTTAAGTCTCCAGCCGACATGTTTACATAGGAATTATCAAGGTGGATTGTAATTGGAATCCGGTAAAGTTTGGTTTCATTTCATAAGGGCCTGTTAAATCCTTTGCTTTTTTAATCCCCACCCGACTTTTTTAGGAATTATCCAAGGGGTTGTAATTGGGAAATCCAGGTCATGTCTTGGCCTTTTTCATAAGGGCCTGTTAAATAAACTTTGCTGTTTTAAGTCCCCAGCCGACATGTTTACATGGGAAATTATCAAGAGTGGATTTTAATTGGAATCCGGTTGTTTTGGGCCTTCTTATCATAGGGCCTTTAAAAATCCTTTGCTTTTTAAAAGTCCCCACCCCAAATGTTTAATAGGAATTACCCAAGGGGGTTGTAATTTGGGAAAATAAAGGTCAATGGTTTGGCTTTCATTATCTTGGGGCCCTGTTTTAAATCATTTGCTTTTTTTAAGTCCCCACCCAAATGTTTAAGGGGAATTACCCAAGAGTGGATTGTAATTGGAATCCAGGTCATTTTTGGCTTCATTTATAAGGGCTTTTAAAATCATTTTTGCTGTTTTAGTCCCCCGCCGAATTTTTAATGGGGAATTTAAAATCCAAGAGTGGTTTGAATTGGAATCCAGGTAAAATTGTCTTGGCCTTCATTATCTAAGGGGCCCTTTTAAAATCACTTTGTTTTTTTTAAGTCTCCAGCCGCTTTTTACATGGGAAATTTATCAAGAGTGGATTGTAATTGGCCAGGTCAATGTTTTGGCCTTTTTTTTTAAGGGCTGCTTGTAAACAAGGTCCGTTTAGACCTTACTATTTGTGGCTTGGGTAGTGCTGGGAACATAACTTGACATTGTGGTCAAGGGGAAAAGTAAGGGGACATGGTAGGGGTCTGGAATGGAGAGCAATATTGAGCTAAGTGGAGTGGTGGAATTGATCCCTGAGTGTTTGATGAGGCTTGTAGGAGAAAAGGGGGAAAAAACTGATGGGTTTGTGCAGAAAATTGGCAATCAAAAGAGGCTTCGACCTAATGGAAGACTAGTGGAGGGGGGGATTTGGGAAACTGGTGGGGGTGACAGGAGGTTCATTGACCATCTGTAGGTATTGTGTGCCTCCTTAAAGGAGCTGTCAGAGTAGGGTTTCTTGTCCTGGAAGAATCGCATTTCAACTTTTCTCCATTCCTGCATCATTTGATTCCATTTCTCCCTCCAAAGGTTTATAACACTTTCCCCTTGTTTGGGTGACCATGAATTATTGGCGAGCTTTTATTCCCCCTAATAAGGAGTTTTCTGTTAAAGTAAATGGATTTGAGTTTTTAAAAAAAAAATGAAGTAATATGAAGTAGAAAATTTTGTTGAAATTTCTTGTTGTGGGAAAAAAAAAAATTTTCTTTGCCTAATTCAAGGTTTCACTTTTTATCTAAACTAAAAAAAAAAAAGAGAAAAATCATCTATTTTTAAATTTTGAAAATGTCAAAGAATTAGTGCCTAAAAGAAACAAAATTTTCCACCCGAGTTAGTGTTGTAAATTTTGATCGGATCTTTAGATAGCCCGGTTATCAAGGCCACTTTTTCCCCAAAACAGCAAACTAGCATATTGACAGCCAAATTTTGGGTTCTATCCCCTCCTTACTTTCTCATTTTTTTTTCCCAGTTTTAAAACTTTCAGCATAAACAGTAGTCTTTTTATTTGAAATTTTTTAGTGGTAGTAAAAATTTGGTCTGGTGGGAATGAAGACAAAAAAAATTATCAAGATGCAAAAACAAGGAAAAAGCAAATTATGGCAATTAAAAAGCTGAAGGGTTTGCAAAGATGGACAACTCTCAATTTTTACATTTGATTTAACTGCGGGTAGAAAAAAAAAGCACGAATATTCCCCATATATACAAGTTTTTTGTTTATTTGTTTATTATGACCCTACCCTCCCTTGGGCATAGTCACCCCATACCCATCCTGTGGGCGGTAGTCAAAAGATTACAGAGGTACATAATGGGTCCAGGGACTGGACTCCAAAGTTTTGATAGCTGAGCAAGTTACAGAGGTAATGAATTCACAATTTACAAAGCTGAGCAAGTTACAGAGGTAATGAATTCACAATTTACAAAGGTAATGATCTCACAATTTACAAAGGTAATGAACTCCAGGTAGGTCTAGTCACAATCATGACAAGTTACAAAGGTATTTACAGATTACAGAGGTACACAATGGGTCCAGGGACCGGGCTCCAAAGTTTTGATGGCTGAACTAGGAACAAGGTAATGAACTCACAAGTTACAAAGGTAATGAACTCACAAGTTACAAAGGTAAAGAATACTGTAAGAATGGTTACTTACGTTTATACATGGCAGCAATCATGAACAAATTTTAGAGTAATGAGCAATTCACACTTCCACACCCGGTCACAACTGTAGTGAGTTATTGGTGCAAATGTTGATTGTTGAGTCTCTCTCACACACACACACACGCATACAAATTCATACACACACACACACACACACACACACACACACACACACACACACACACACACAAACTCATACACACACACACGCACACACATACACACACACACACACTCATATACACACACACTCACACACACACACATACTCACACACACACACACACACACACACACACACACACACACACACCAGTGCTATTTTTGGTATATGTGAACGACATGACGGAAGGGTTAGACTCAGAAGTGTCCCTGTTTGCAGATGATGTGAAGTTAATGAGGAGAATTAAATCTGATGAGGACCAGGCAGGACTTCAAAGAGACCTGGACAGACTGGACACCTGGTCCAGCAAATGGCTTCTCGAATTTAATCCTGCCAAATGCAAAGTCATGAAGATAGGGGAAGGGCACAGAAGACCACAGACAGAGTATAGGCTAGGTGGCCAAAGACTGCAAACCTCACTCAAGGAGAAAGATCTTGGGGTGAGTATAACACCGAGCATGTCTCCGGAAGCACACATCAATCAGATAACTGCTGCAGCATATGGGCGCCTGGCAAACCTGAGAACAGCATTCCGATACCTTAGTAAGGAATCATTCAATACACTGTACACCGTGTATGTCAGGCCCATACTGGAGTATGCAGCACCTGTTTGGAACCCGCACTTGATAAAGCACGTCAAGAAACTAGAGAAAGTACAAAGGTTTGCAACAAGGTTAGTTCCAGAGCTAAGGGGAATGTCTTATGAAGAAAGATTAAGGGAAATCGGCCTGACGACACTGGAGGACAGGAGGGTCAGGGGAGACATGATAACGACATATAAAATACTGTGTGGAATAGACAAGGTGGACAAGGACAGGATGTTCCAGGGAGGGGACACAGAAACAAGAGGCCACAATTGGAAGTTGAAGACACAAATGAGTCAGAGAGATAGTAGGAAGTATTTCTTCAGTCAGAGTTGTAAGGCAGTGGAATAGCCTAGAAAATGACGTAGTGGAGGCAGGAACCATACACAGTTTTAAGACGAGGTTTGATAAAGCTCATGGAGCGGGGAGAGAGAGGGCCTAGTAGCAACCGGTGAAGAGGCGGGGCCAGGAGCTAGGACTCGACCCCTGCAACCACAAATAGGTGAGTACACACTCACACACACACACACACACACACACACACACACATGCACATATGTGGTAATGCTTTATTTACAGCTAGCAAAGTCAGGGTATTTCTCCAGAATGGTCTGTAATATACCTCTGTGGATAAAATACTTAGCCATTTCTTGAACACTTCTGAGTGAGTTGTTTCTAAATTCAAGGACATCATATATTTTGCAATTTACGTATGCTGCCCAAAATCAGGCATAATTAGTAATGAAAATTTACAGCAAATCACAACGCATTAATTCTTTACCAGACAATGAACAAGAAACATGTTAATCAGTTCAACCATCTAAGACATTTTACAGTTCTCTCAATTAAAATAAGATCTGCAGCAAATTCATCAGAAACAGATTAATTTATAAATCACAAAGCATGGAAGATATGAATGGTCTACTTACCATTTGAACCAATATAGTGAACATTGTGAACTGCAAGGGCTGGCAAAGCTGAGATAGTTTCCTCCAACATCAATAGTGCTCTAAGACATTCTTTAAAAGTTGGTCGGTTCTCTGGACTGTAGCTCCAACATCGCTCCATCAGTTTATGGCTAAAAAGAAAAGTTGAAGCTTCTATCTACTTATCTGCTGCATTTTTATTTTATCTTGCAACTTGAGCATGCTGACACTTACATAAAACTTTACCTGAGAACACTAAGTTCATAAATAAGGTTAGCATTGTCCTAACAAGACAATGTGATAACTTTTAAATTAGTTTGGAGAAAATACAATGTCCAATGACAATTAAGGCAAGAAATGAAATAGATAATAGATCTTTACAAAAAATATCTATGAAAAATATTTTAACAAGATTTTATATAATCCAAATAGATCCCAGACATTTATATTAAATGTATTGTTTTCAAAATACAGTACATTATATGAAATGGATGATTCACAAAAAAATATTTATTAACATGTATCATGTTAATAAATCATTTGCAATTAAACTATAATATATTTTTTTGGAGTATTGAAAAAACTTACAGTTCCTCTGGGCAATTGGGAGGACGATTAAGGCGACCTCCGCCCCTGACATAATGTAGCACTTCAAGGTTGGTGCGTGCAGGGTATGGCTGCTGTCCAAGAGTCAACATCTCCCACAACAGCACTCCAAATGCCCAAACATCAGAGTGACTTGTGAACACTCCATCAACCAGAGATTCTGGAGACAGCCACCTCAATGGTAACAGCCCCTCTCCCTATACAAAAAAGATTTTGCTAAATAAGACATGCCTGGTTGACCAGACAAGCCTAGCCTAAGGCTGGGCTCTGGGAATAGAAAAACTCACAGAACTCATCAAAAGTAAAGACAATGTATGTTTTTTCAGTACTGTACAGATGACAATTTTTTTTTTTTTTTTTTTTTTTTTTCAACAAGTCGGCCGTCTCCCACCGAGGCAGGGTGACCCAAAAAAGAAAGAAAATCCCCAAAAAGAAAATACTTTCATCATCATTCAACACTTTCACCACACTCGCACATTATCACTGTTTTTGCAGAGGTGCTCAGAATACAACAGTTTAGAAGCATATACATATAAAGATACACAACATATCCCTCCAAACTGCCAATATCCCAAACCCCTCCTTTAAAGTGCAGGCATTGTACTTCCCATTTCCAGGACTCAAGTCCGGCTATATAAAAATAACCGGTTTCCCTGAATCCCTTCACTAAATATTACCCTGCTCACACTCCAACAGATCGTCAGGTCCCAAGTATCATTCGCCTCCATTCACTCCTATCTAATACGCTCATGCACACTTGCTGGAAGTCCAAGCCCCTAGCCCACAAAACAACCTTTACCCCCTCTTTCCAACCCTTTCGAGGACGACCCCTACCCCTCCTTCCTTCCCCTATAGATTTATATGCTTTCCATGTCATTCTACTTTGATCCATTCTCTCTAAATGACCATACCACCTCAACAACCCCTCTTCTGCCCTCTGACTAATGCTTTTATTAACTCCACACCTTCTCCTAATTTCCACACTCCAAATTTTCTGCATAATATTTACACCACACATTGCCCTTAGACAGGACATCTCCACTGCCTCCAACCGTCTCCTCGCTGCTGCATTTACCACCCAAGCTTCACATCCATATAAGAGTGTTGGTACTACTATACTTTCATACAGTCCCTTCTTTGCCTCCATAGATAACGTTTTTTGACTCCACATATACCTCAACGCACCACTCACCTTTTTTCCCTCATCAATTCTATGATTAACCTCATCCTTCATAAATCCATCCGCCGACACGTAAACTCCCAAGTATCTGAAAACATTCACTTCTTCCATACTACTCCTCCCCAATTTGATATCCAATTTTTCTTTATCTAAATCATTTGATACCCTCATCACCTTACTCTTTTCTATGTTCACTTTCAACTTTCTACCTTTACACACATTCTCAAACTCATCCACTAACCTTTGCAATTTTTCTTTAGAATCTCCCATAAGCACAGTATCATCAGCAAAAAGTAACTGTCAATTCCCATTTTGAATTTGATTCCCCATAATTTAATCCCACCCCTCTCCCGAACACCCTAGCATTTACTTCTTTTACAACCCCATCTATAAATATATTAAACAACCATGGTGACATTACACATCCCTGTCTAAGACCTACTTTTACCAGGAAGTATTCTCCCTCTCTTCTACACACCCTAACCTGAGCCTCACTATCCTCATAAAAACTCTTTACAGCATTTAGTAACTTACCACCTATTCCAGAGAGGGCTGAGCTTGCTACCATCTGCAGCTCATAAGACTGCCATCCCCACGAGCCCCTTTGAGGCGGGGTAGATGGCAGACCAGAGGCCTAGCTTCTCCCTACGAGCCCCGTGAGGGCGGGGAATGTGGCTAGGCCTGGAGACACTTGGTCCCAAAGATGAGGAGGTACTGTACCTCCTCCCATGGGAGACTTAAGTCTCGAGACACTCCCCAGATAGGGAGCCAAGGCCGGGTCACCACTACTTGGAAAAGACCCGGGCCGGGAGAATACCGGCGAATAAAAAAAAAAAAAAAAAAAAAAAAACCCACCTATTCCATATACTTGCAACATCTGCCACATTGCTCCTCTATCCACTCTATCATATGCCTTTTCTAAATCCATAAATGCAATAAAAACGTCCCTACCTTTATCTAAATACTGTTCACATATATGCTTCAATGTAAACACTTGATCTACACATCCCCTACCCACTCTGAAGCCTCCCTGCTCATCCGCAATCCTACATTCTGTCTTACCTCTAATTCTTTCAATTATAACCCTACCGTATACTTTTCCTAGTATACTCAGTAAACTTATTCCTCTATAATTTTTACAATCTCTTTTGTCCCCTTTCCCTTTATATAAAGGGACTATACATGCTCTCTGCCAATCCCTAGGTACCTTCCCCTCTTTCATACATTTATTAAACAAAAGTACCAACCACTCCAACACTATATCCCCCCCTGCTTTTAACATTTCTGTCATGATCCCATCAGTTCCAGCTGCTTTACCCCTTTTCATTCTACGTAATGCCTCACGTACCTCCCCCACACTTACATTCTGCTCTTCTTCACTCCTAAAAGATGGTATACCTCCCTGGCCAGTGCATGAAATTACCGCCTCCCTTTCTTCCTTAACATTTAAAAGTTCCTCAAAATATTCTTGCCATTACCCAATACCTCCCTCTCCCCATCTACTAACTCCCCTACTCTGTTTTTAACTGACAAATCCATACTTTCCCTAGGCTTTCTTAACTTGTTTAACTCACTCGAAAATTTTTTCTTATTTTCATTAAAATTTCTTGACAGTGCCTCTCCCACTCTTTCATCTGCTCTCCTTTTGCACTCTCTCACCACTCTCTTCACCTTTCTTTTACTCTCCATATACTCTGCTTTTCTTATAACACTTCTGCTTTGTAAAAACCTCTCCTAAGCTACCTTTTTCTCTTTTATCACACCCTTTACTTCATCATTCCACCAATCACTCCTCTTTCCTCCTGCCCGCACCCTCCTATAACCACCAACTTCTGCCCCACATTCTAATACTGCATTTTTAAAACTATTCCAACCCTCTTCAACCCCCCCACTACTCATCTTTGTACTAGCCCACCTTTCTGCCAATAGTCTCCTATATCTCGCCCGAACTTCCTCCTCCCTTAGTTTATACACTTTCACCTCCCTCTTACTTGTTGTTGCCACCTTCCTCTTTTCCCATCTACCTCTTACTCTAACTGTAGCTACAACTAAATAATGATCCGATATATCAGTTGCTCCTCTATAAACATGTACATCCTGGAGCCTACCCATTAACCTTCTATCCACCAATACATAATCTAACAAACTACTTTCATTACGTGCTACATCATACCTTGTATATTTATTTATCCTCTTTTTCATAAAATATGTATTACTTATTACCAAATTTCTTTCTACACATAGCTCAATTAAAGGCTCCCCATTTACATTTACCCCTGGCACCCCAAATTTACCTACTACTCCCTCTAACATTTTTACCCACTTTAGCATTGAAATCCCCAACCACCATTACTCTCACACTTGATTCAAAACTCCCCACGCATTTACTCAACATTTCCCAGAATCTCTCTCTCTCCTCTACACTTCTCTCTTCTCCAGGTGCATACACGCTTACTATAACCCACTTTTCACATCCAATCTATTTTACTCCACATAATCCTTGAATTTATACATTTGTAGTCCCTCTTTTCCTGCCATAGCTTATCCTTCAACATTATTGCTACTCCTTCTTTAGCTCTAACTCTATTTGAAACCCCTGACCTAATCCCATTTATTCCTCTCCATTGAAACTCTCCCACCCCCTTCAGCTTTGTTTCACTTAAAGCCAGGACATCCAGTTTCTTCTCATTCATAACATCCACAATCATCTCTTTCTTATCATTTGCACAACATCCACGCACATTCAGACTTCCCACTTTGACAATTTTCTTCTTATTCTTTTTAGTAATCTTTACAGGAAAAGTGGTTACTAGCCCATTGTTCCCGGCATTTTAGTTGACTTTTACAATACGCATGGCTTATGGAGGAAAGATTCTTATTCCACTTCCCCATGGATATAAAAGGAAAAGTAATAAGACCAAGAACTATTAAGATAAAATCAAAGAAAACTCAGATGAGTGTGTATAAATAAACGTGTACATGTATGTGTAGTGTGACCTAAGTGTAAGTAGAAGTAGCAAGACATGCCTGTAATCTTGCATATTTATGAGACAGATAAAAGACACCAGCAATCCTACCATCATGTAAAACAATTACAGGCTTTAGTTTTACACTCACTTGGCAGGACGGTAGTACCTCCCTGGGTGGTTGCTGTCTACCAACCTACTACCACAGGATGGTAGTACCTCCCTGGGTGGTTGCTGTCTACCAACCTACTACCTATAATAACTTATTATATAAAAAAATAAAAATCTTCATTAATTTTAGGGGTATTTTAATAAGTTTAAAGTTTTTTCACTCGTGAATTTCACAAGCCTACTCTTATAAATATGGCATTAAGTTATAAATAAAATGATCTATAGATATACAGTACCTCTTTTCTATAGTAATCATTTTTGTATATATCTCTGGCTAGCCCAAAATCACCAATTTTCACTATACGAGATTCAGGGTCAGTTGTTGAGACAAGACAATTCCTTGCAGCCAAGTCACGGTGGATATAGTGCATTTCTTCCAAATACACACAGCCTTTAGCCACATCCAGACACATGGCCACCAAGTCTGCTAATGTCAAGCTACACTCAACCTAAAAAATGAATAGAATCGATTTAAAAGGTGGATACAATAATGCTCATTGTTACATACACTGTCTGCAGTTTGGAGGGAAATATGAGCTGTAATATCAATATGCCTCTGGCAAGAGAGTGGTGGAGTGAGTGATAGTGACAGTGTTTCTTCTTTTTTGAGTCACTCTACTTCTGTGGGAGACAGCTCAAACTTCAGACACTAAGGCACCATCCAATATGAATGTGACTAAACATTTGACCCTGCAATATGAATATGACTTAACATTTTCTATAAATTTCAAACTTATGTATAAATTAATAATAATAAACTTCAAACTTACTCCACGACTTGTACGAAGATAGGACAGAAGATCGCCACCTTCCATCAGTTCAAGGATAAGGAAGAAAGGATCATGGTCTGTACATACAGCCAGAAGACGCAAGATATGTTCATGCTGGAAGTGACTCATCAACTGAGCCTCCTTCAGGAACTCAGCTTTTTTGTCTCTGTTGCTCCTTTACGGAGAGTCTGACAAGCATCAAAGGCACTCATTGTTTACAGAGTAATACAAAATTAAATTCTTAAAATGTTGAAAATGCATATATTTTTTCAGTTTCAATATATATAGTGGCTAAAAAATATACAGCCTCTCCTCACTCAACGACAAAGTTCCATTCCTAAGACCATGTTGGTAAACAAATTTGTCGCTAAATGAGGAGCATGCTATAATGGTAGTGGGCTTGTGAACCATCTTTGATAGTGTTTTAATGTCACCTTTGCACCATTTATAACATTTCTGGTATATTTTTAAACGTTTATACAGTAGTGTACTATATATTGTATTAAACAAAATAGCAGAAATCAGCTCTAATAAACATTATTTATGTATGCATACAGGTCAGAGAGCCTGTTGTAAGTCTGAGTCGTCGGTAAAAGAGTACGTCGCTAAGTGAGGAGAGGCTGTACTCATATTTGCCAATCATATAAAATGTATACTCATGTATACATGAAAAATAAGAATTAATGGATACTCATACCTTAACTGCCACCTTTGTGACCTCAGGTAAACATGGCAGTCCACAGGCTGTCCCTTCAAATACTTCACCAAACGCTCCACAATCCAGAAACTTGGTGAGGTTGATACAATGCCGTGATACATGGGGCAGATCCAGGTCATCTCCTGAAATTACATTTTGAAAAAATACTTGAGCTTTATTTTTTTGTAGATATACAGCTGGATGTTTAATAAGACAGCAATAAATACTTCTCACAGATGAAGAAAAGGATTTATCAAATTATCTTTATGAAGATTCAAGGGGTACAATACTGTTGCCTTTTTATCAGACTGAGATGTACTGTTATTCATTGTGCAGCTAAAAGCTGTGTATGTAAGATATTAATATAGAATACTGTAATAAGCAAAACATGTTTTTATTTTTCACCTACCTGGAAAAGTGTGAAGGTTATAGAGAACATTATTTTCTGTAACAAAGTTATTATTTATTGGCAACTGTCGAAGAGTTGCTAATTCTACTTCACGAGATTGTGGTGGTGGTGGTGGTGGTGGGTGGGAGAATCATTCAGAGAAGCTGCTTTAACTTTCCTCCTCCTCCTCTCTGCTCGTTTCATACCTAAAGAAAACATGATACGAGAATGTTATTAATTTTTATGTCAAATTCAAATGAGAAACTAAATTTACAAAACTGCTTGTGACTGCTACAAGAATTCGAGCTATATTCTTTGCATTAGTGAATACTACTGTGAAAATTAGACACTAAAATATTAGAACAGTAACAATGGTATAATAATGTGAATAATAAAATGGTAGAAAATACCGACAGGTTGTTAGGTAAGACACACATGCAACAGTTAGGTATCTTTATATCGAAATGTTTCACCTACACAGTAGGCTTCTTCAGTCAAGTACAGAAAAGTTGATAGAAGCACAAGAGAAGTGAAGACTGATTACATCGTCTTCACGTCTCTTGTGCTTCTATCAGCTTTTCTGTACTCGACTGAAGAAGCCTACTGTGTAGGCAAAACTGGGCCGCGGGGGCGTTGACCCCCGGAACTCTCTCCAGGTAAACTCCAGGTAAACTGTTGCACGTGTCTTACCTAACAATGGTATAATAATGTACGTACATCCATTTCATAACCTGCCAAAACACCTCCAAACTTACAATTATTTACTACAAAATAAAAACTAATATGAAGCAATATAACTCATTTATCATATATATAAGAAGCTCTTTGGTACATAATTTTTAGCATAAAGAAAAAAAAAGTTAGGATGGTTAGAAAGACTTGTTAAATGTTTAAATATACACTGACCATGTAGGTCACTCAATACTTACAGCCATCAAAAATATTCACAAAATGATAAATGCACTGAGCATAAATGCTTGACACAAATAAATACAGTGGACCCTCAGTTAACACCTGCAGTGGATAACGCCAAAATTGGATAACGCCTCGCTTTGGCGTAAAAAAATTGGCTCGGATAACACCTAAAAACTCGGTTAGGAGCTTTCGTCCCAAACATGTCGGCACGGCGCCCTTAGCAGGCCCGGCCACTCACTCTGTGTACCAACCAGTGTGCCATTGTTTACAAAGCCAGTGAAGACGATTCCTCGCGTACATGCGATACATTTTGTATTATTCCATTGTTTTTGGTGCTTGTAACTGCTAAATAAGCCACCAAGGGCCCCAAGACAGCTTCTAGTGCCAGCCCTATGGTAAAGAATGTGAGAAACATATAATTTAAAAAAAAGTTTGTAGAAAAATACGAAAGGGGTGGTGGTAGAGGGTGGTAGTGGTTGTGATGGTGGTAGTGGTGGTGGTAGAGGGTGGTAGCAACTGTGATGGTGGTAGAGGGTGGTAGTGGTTGTGATGGTGGTATGGTTTGATAAGGCATGGAGAGGCTGCCAGTTCTGACAAAAAAGCGGCTGAAAAATATGTGCAGGACTTTAAGGGGTACATAGAGGCTGAAAAATTAAAACCCCAAGTGTTCAATTGTGACGATAAAGGATTGTTTAGGAAGAAAATGCCAAACAGAACCTACATTACTGAAGAGGAGAAGATACTCCCAGGACACAAGCCAGAAAAGGACTTATTACCTGAAGCCCTTATGGAAGGAGATTCCCCTTCCAAACAATAGAACATCTTCATCCTCTGCCCTTCTCCTGTTTCATCACTCATCAACAAGTCCACAATAAAGGTAAGTGTGATGTTATTATTGTTTTATTCTTCATGTATCATTGTTTTCTGTGTAGGGAAATGTATATTTCATGTAAAATAATTATTTTGTTTATTACTTTTGGGTGTCTGAAACGGATTAATTGGATTTCCATTATTTCTTATGGGGAAAATTAATTCGGTTAAAGGCTAAATCGATTAAAGCCTAGCTCTCTGGAATGGATTAAAGGCATTAACTGAGGGTCCACTGTACTACTATACAAAGTTGAAAAATCGAGCATCACTTAAAAACTTTACTAGGCTGAGGAAGGGTTGGTGAAGTGGTTTGGTCATGTAGAGGTTGGAGAGGGATAGGTTGACTAAGAGGTTAATAAATCTGGGGGAGGGAGGGGGTATGAGAGGCTATGAGCTTTAGGGGCTTGAGCATTCAGCAGACTTGTGAGAGCATTTTAAACGGAAGTGAATAGAGACAAGTGGTTTTTCATAGATGTGCTGTTGGAGTGTGAGCAAGGTAACTGATGAAGGGATTCAGAGCAACTGGTTAGTTGGACTTGAGTCCTGGAGGTGGGAGAGGCAGTGTCTGCACTCAGAAGGGGTGGGGATGCTTCATTTGGAGGGTAATCTGAATTGTGACATAAGAATGCTTCTGGTAAGACAGTCTCTGAATGACTGACAGTCACCGTACCTTGGAGGGAGACGACTGTTGTGAAAAAAAAAATTAATAACAGTACACTATACTGTATTTACCATATATAAGACTTGTAAAAAACACTCCCAAAAAAATCAGAGATGTTGGTATAGTTGATGCAAGAATTGTAGGGAGATCAGTCTGTGTCAGCATGGTTGACCCAACTACTGTGTCAATCACATTGACTTCTCCCCAAGGGCCAGCTCCAAGTTCATTTATAGCACGGACTCGAAAGATGTAACTGGATTTTGCTTCTAATCCTTTGATAAGCCAATAATTATCTGTAAAAAATTAGTATCTATTAATTACTGTCCTACGGATTTTATAAATTAATATACAACTCCACAGAGCAGTAACATTAATACACATGTAAGATCATCTACTTAAAATGCCAAATTCTAATACAGTAGGACTATAGAAAATTTATACAAAAATAACTCGTGCACTTTACCCGATCCATTATATATGGTAGCATAGGTAATATTGTTGTCAAAGTCATTGGAATTATAGAGGGAAGCTTGCAGGGTGTATGCAATAACTGGAGCACCATTTGGTTTCGCCTCACTCCACCAGAGCCTCAAGCCACAGTCAGGCAAGACCCCACCCACCTGCTGCCGCATCACTTGTCCTGGTTCACCTGGAATCTCAGCTACACACCAAATACTTATTGTTAACTTACTTCTGGTTAACTAATTTTTAACTTTGAAAAATCTTATTAATTTGAAACATTCATCAGACAACAAACTTTCAAAAGTGTGCATGAACTGATTAAATTTGACCAAAATCAAAATGAATTTCTGCAATAAATATGTATATACGGAGCAATTGTTATTATATTCACAAAAGTAAACAAAAATATAGTGCCAATGAAAGAACTCACCCAATGTGGAAAAATTAAAGAGAGGTTGTTCAGGCCATGTATAACTGTAGTAAGTATTATTGTATATAACCTGAACTCTAAATATGTATGAGGTGGCAGGTGCCAGATGAATGATGTTGGCAAAATAGGTTTGTCCAGCAGTTATTTGCTCCATGGTGAGATTTTCCCAGATACTGTCACCAAAGGCTGTATACTGAAACTGATAAAAATAATGAGAATGATTAGTATTTATTAAGTGTAATGTATGTGAAATAACTTGAGTTAGCACTCATAACGTGATGGCAGAGAAAGTCAGTGATGAGTGATTGAATAAAATTCAAGTTACATTGCTAGGTTTTTTTTTTTTTTATTATCACACTGGCCGATTCCCACCAAGGCAGGGTGGCCCACCAAGGCAGGGTGGCCCACCAAGGCAGGGTGGCCCACCAAGGCAGGGTGGCCCGAAAAAGAAAAACTTCACCATCATTCACTCCATCACTGTCTTGCCAGAAGGGTGCTTTACACTACAGTTTTTAAACTGCAACATTAACACCCCTCCTTCAGAGGGCAGACACTGTACTTCCCATCTCCAGGACTCAAGTCCGGCATGCCTGTTTCCCTGAACCCCTTCATAAATGTTACTTTGCTCACACCCCAACAGCACGTCAAGTATTAAAAACCATTTGTCTCCATTCACTCTCAAACACGCTCATGCATGCCTGCTGGAAGTCCAAGCCCCTCGCACACAAAACCTCCTTTACCCCCTCCCTCCAACCTTTCCTAGGCCGACCCCTACCCGGCCTTCCTTCCACTACAGACTGATACACTCTTGAAGTCATTCTGTTTCGCTCCATTCTCTCTACATGTCCGAACCACCTCAACAACCCTTCCTCAGCCCTCTGGACAACAGTTTTGGTAATCCCGCATCTTCTCCTAACTTCCAAACTACGAATTCTCTGCATTATATTCACACCACATATTGCTAGGTACGTATGTTAAAGTGACATTATATACAGAAGAATGGTCAAAAGATATATAGCATACTGTCCCATTATCCAAAAAGGACACGCCAAAGACAATGTATGCGTGCTCATAGAAGTGAATTCAGGGGTATTAATTTTATATTTAAATAAGAATGAGACTTAAGTGCTCCACAAAATAAACTTCTCTCTGAAGCATTTTATTCTATCACTGAAAGAAATGTACATTACAGAATGAAGCTGAAATCCAGTTAATAAAATAAGCTGAAAGGTTTATCATCATACTTCAAAAATTTAGTAATTGGCAATGTACTTACAGCGTGTCGCAAAACAGATCTGTCTGATGGTGCCTTCCAGTTAATGAAAAGTGTGCGTGCGGTTGCATTTTTCAATCTGATGTGTGGTAGTTCAGGAAGGGTGATGACAGTCACTCGTGGACTGTTTGTATGCACAAGTCTATCTTGGGAATAGACTCTTACCCAGACCTAAGTTGCAAGAATACACAATGCAATGGATGAATTTTAAGTATTAACATGTCTATTTAAACTGATTAATATATTAAATTTAATAAATTAGTGGCCATTAGGTTATAAAGCAAAAATTACTTCAAGAAATGTTTAAAAGAAGATTTAATACCCTTATATTTTCTGAGTGTATATGTTGCACAAATTGGAATAATACTCTAAATAATGTTAAACTAATAAATATAACAAAATCATGTTACATTGAAGTAGGTAGTAGGTGTGGTTTCAAAACGATCCACGAGGAAGTTCTACGGTTCCTGAGAATGATGCGAAACAGAAACTGTAAGTGTTTTGCATGTATGGTAAGGATTGCTGGTGTCTTTTTCTGCCTATAAACGCTAGATAACAGTGATATCTTGCTACGTCTATAGACTTGGTCACACTTCACAGACAGTACATGATATAATAATAACAACATCTGGTTTTTTACTTTTTCTACTAGCTTTGTTCTCTTATATCTTCTATGCCAGGGAAGTGGAAAGAGCACTTGTCCTATCGTAAGCTACATGCCTGCCTTAATGAGGCGCTAATAATGCCGAGTACAATGCTAGTGTAAACCCCTTCTGTAGACATTACTAAAAAGAGAGAAAACTTTATGAACACTGTGGTGCGAACGGCGTGGGTGTAGTGCAGATGACAAGAAACAGATGATTGCTAATGTTATGAATGAAAAGTTGGATGTCCTGGCCCTAAGCGAAACAAAGCTGAAGGGGTAGGGGAGTTTCAGTGGGGGGAAATAAATGGGATTAAATCTGGAGTATCTGAGAGAGTTAGAGCAAAGGAAGGGTAGCAGTAATGTGAATGATCAGTTATGGAAGGAGAAAAGAGAATATGAATGTGTAAATGCAAGAATTATGTGGATTAAAGTAAAGGTTGGATGCGAGAAGTGGGTCATAATAAGCGTGTATGCACCTGGAGAAGACAGGAATGTAGAGGAGAGAGAGAGATTTTGGGAGATGTTAAGTGAATGTATAGGAGCCTTTGAACCAAGTGAGAGAGTAATTGTGGTAGGGGACCTGAATGCTAAAGTAGGAGAAACTTTTAGAGGGTGTGGTAGGTAAGTTTGGGGTGCCAGGTGTAAATGATAATAGGAGCCCTTTGATTGAACTTTGTATAGAAAGGGGTTTAGTTATAGGTAATACATATTTTAAGAAAAAGAGGATAAATAAGTATACAAGATATGATGTAGGGCGAAATGACAGTAGTTTGTTGGATTATGTATTGGTAGATAAAAGACTGTTGAGTAGACTTCAGGATGTACATGTTTATAGAGGGGCCACAGATATATCAGATCACTTTCTAGTTGTAGCTACACTGAGAGTAAAAGGTAGATGGGATACAAGGAGAATAGAAGCATCAGGGAAGAGAGGTGAAGGTTTATAAACTAAAAGAGGAGGCAGTTAGGGAAAGATATAAACAGCTATTGGAGGATAGATGGGCTAAGGGAGAGCATAGGCAATGGGGGTCGAAGAGGTATTGGGTAGGTTTAAAAATGTAGTGTTAGAGTGTTCAGCAGAAGTTTGTGGTTACAGGAAAGTGGGTGCGGGAGGGAAGAGGAGCGATTGGTGGAATGATGATGTAAAGAGAGTAGTAAGGGAGAAAAAGTATGCATATGAGAAGTTTTACAAAGTAGAAGTGATGCAAGGAGGGAAGAGTATATGGAGAAAAAGAGAGGTTAAGAGAGTGGTGAAGCAATGTAAAAAGAGCAAATGAGAGAGTGGGTGAGATGTTATCAACAAATTTTGTTGAAAATAAGAAAAAGTTTTGGAGTGAGATTAGCAAGTTAAGGAAGCCTAGAAAACAAATGGATTTGTCAGTTAAAAATAGGAGAGGAGAGTTATTAAATGGAGAGTTAGAGGTATTGGGAAGATGGAGAGAATATTTTGAGGAATTGTTAAATGTTGATGAAGATAGGGAAGCTGTGATTTCGTGTATAGGGCAGGGAGGAATAACATCTTGTAGGAGTGAGGAAGAGCCAGTTGTGAGTGTGGGGGAAGTTCATGAGGCAGTAGGTAAAATGAAAGGGGGTAAGGCAGCCGGGATTAATGGGATAAAGATAGAAATGTTAAAAGCAGGTGGGGATATAGTTTTGGAGTGGTTGGTGCAATTATTTAATAAATGTATGGAAGAGGGTAAGGTACCTAGGGATTGGCAGAGAGCATGCATAGTTCCTTTGTATAAAGGCAAAGGGGACAAAAGAGAGTGCAAAAATTATAGGGGGATAAGACTGTTGAGTTCTCCATGGGGAAGTGGAACAGAATTCTTCCTCTGTAAGCCATGCGTGTCATAAGAGGCGACTAAAATGCCGGGAGCAAGGGGCTAGTAACCCCTTCTCCTGTATATATTACTAAATTTAAAAGGAGAAACTTCAGTTTTTTCTTTTGGGCCACCCCACCTCAGTGGGATACGGCTGGTACGTTGAAAGAAGAAAGAAGAAGAAGTCTGTTGAGTATACCTGGTAAAGTGTATGGAAGAGTTATTATTGAAAGAATTAAAAGTAAGACTGAGAATAGGATAGCAGATGAACAAGGAGGCTTTAGGAAAGGTAGGGGGTGTGTGGACCAGGTGTTTACAGTGAAACATAAGTGAACAGTATTTAGATAAGGCTAAAGAGGTCTTTGTGGCATTTATGGATTTGGAAAAGGCGTATGACAGGGTGGATAGGGGGCCAATGTGGCAGATGTTGCAAGTGTATGGTGTAGGAGGTAGGTTACTGAAAGCAGTGAAGAGTTTTTACGAGGATAGTGAGGCTCAAGTTAGAGTATGTAGGAAAGAGGGAAATTATTTCCCAGTAAAAGTAGGCCTTAGACAAGGATGTGTGATGTCACCGTGGTTGTTTAATATATTTATAGATGGGGTTGTAAGAGAAGTAAATGCGAGGGTCTTGACAAGAGGCGTGGAGTTAAAAGATAAAGAATCACACACAAAGTGGGAGTTGTCACAGCTGCTCTTTGCTGATGACACTGTGCTCTTGGGAGATTCTGAAGAGAAGTTGCAGAGATTGGTGGATGAATTTGGTAGGGTGTGCAAAAGAAGAAAATTAAAGGTGAATACAGGAAAGAGTAAGGTTATGAGGATAACAAAAAGATTAGGTGATGAAAGATTGAATATCAATTGGAGGGAGAGAGTATGGAGGGGTGAATGTATTCGATATTTGGGATTGGCGTTCACGGATGGGTCTTGAAGATGAGGTGAATCATAGAATTGATGGGGGGGAAAAGAGTGAGTGGTGCCTTGGGATTTGTGGGCAAAGAACTTTGTCCTTGGGGAAAAAGGGGGGAATGTATGAAGTATAGTTTTCCAACCTCTTTATATGGGGTTGAAGCATGGGTGATGAATGTTGCGGGAGGAAAAGGGTGGAGGCGTGGAGATGCCCTGTTGAGGGCAATGTGTGGTGTAATATAATGCAGAGAATTCGTAGTTTGGAAGTTGGAGGAGGTGCGGATTCCCCCAAAAAAACTGTTGTCCAAGGGCTGGGGAAAGGGTTGTTGAGGTGGTTCGGACATGTAAAAGGAATGGAGCGAAACAGAAGACTTAAAGATGTTCAGTCTGAAGGGGGAAGGAAGGCGGGGTAGGGGGGGCCTAGGAAAGGGTTGGAGAGAGGGGGAAAAGGAGGTTTTGTGTGGAGGGGCTTGGACTCCAGCAGGTTTGCGTGAGCGTGTTTGATAGGAGTGAATGGAGACAAAGGGTTTTTTAATACTTGACGTGCGTTGGAGTGTGGCAAGTAACATTTATGAAGGGGTTCAGGGAAACCGGCAGGCCGACTTGAGTCCTGGAGATGGGAAGTACGTGCCTGCACTCTGAAGGGGGGGGTTTTTAAATGTTGCAGTTTTAAAAACTGTGTTTTTAACCCCTTCTGGCAAGACATGAGGGAGGAATGATGGTAAATTTTTCTTTTTGGGGCCCCCCTGTTTTGGGGGGGGAATGGGCCCATGGGGGAAAAAAAAAAAAAAAAAAAAAAAAAAAATTAGTCACCGATCAACTTTCCCATGTCTTGCTTTCATTACGGGGAATGGTTGCAAAATGTGCATCTCGTTTGCATGCCCCTAATGCCATGATTCTTGGGAGAAAACACCTGCCGTCATCACAGGGCCCTGCGTTGACCCGGGGGAAATTTTTTTACGATTAAAAACGCACTGTGCCACCACCACTGTCTTGTTCATCGCATGAAATCACTGAGTAATGGGGTTGTTCCAGATCGGTATAAATGATAAGGTCCTCATGTTTCTCACTACATCCCCTGAGATACCAATAACATTTTGGGTATCTTTCTTTGTTTTACACCCGGTATACAACAATACCCCAAACCCGGCCACTGTCAAAATCACGAGTAAAAAACAGTTTTTTTCCCAAAAGGGTTTTCCTCTTGCTCTATATACTGCTTGAATTGACAGTCTACCTTTGAACAAAAAAAGACTTAAATTTACAAGATTTTTAAAATGGATAAAAGTTAGCTAAAATTTTGTTTGAGATCATAAAAACATTTAAAATTTTGTAAAACCTGTCACTTTGTCGGCCGGGTTTTGTCAGAGAAGGGAACTACGAAAGAGTAAAAAAAACCCTTTTCACTGGTAGTTTCACAAAAACCCGGGGGTAGAAATTAGCCGATCTGTGGCCCAGTAGTTTTTATATTATGCTTATAGCGTGGGCATAAGCATTATTGTTGCAAAAAGCAAATACATTTCTGCAACAGTGTCTCTTTCCACCTGTGTATCTTGATGTGGTATAAGATGTATTGCGATGGTGTACTCAAAAAAATTATTACTTTCCCGACAATAATTTCCATAAAGGGTGGTCAAAGATAATTCAAAAAATTTCCAGTTCATTGGCCGGGGCCAAGGGGGACAAGTAGGAGAATTCCACTTTGAGAATGATAAAAAATTCTCACTACGGCAGCACACTCCCCCAAAAATTTTTAATCACTAAACCATCCCATACAAAACATCCATACTTATTACTGA